TCAAAGTGGAATAAAAAATAATAAGTTGGGATATGATTAGACTTGTGTCAATATAGGTTAACCCAAACCGAGTTTATTTATGAAAGCTTGATTAGGCATTTGACGGGTCAAACGGTTAGGACAATTAGAATATAATCATATATCACAAAAATCGAATCAGATAGGGACCTGCTAAGGTTGGTGGTTAGCGTTCGTTCGGTTTGGATTGACCAGTTTTCAAATTGATCAAACCAATTGTAACTGGAATTTCAATAAAATTGGATCAACAAAAAATAAGTTTAGTTTGGCTTAAACAGTTCGATTATGAGTAAACCAAAATTTAGTTGTTAGTCGGAGCTCGACTATGAACAAACCTCAAGAACTATATATCTTACTTCTAGAATATCGATTTAATTTCATAACCCGAAATGCATTTTCGAAACCAAGTTGAATCAATGGCCGGGGCCTATTTTATGATTTTGACCAAATAGTGTACAGCCCCCAGCTAGAATTGATGAAATTACTCTACCTTTAAATTTATGAATATTTACATAAATATAATTAAATTGTTATATATATTTATATATTTAACATCCAAACTACAATTATTACATATATGCCATCTTATTTATGTATGAAAATATGAATTCATTTTATAAAAAGTTATAATAATGATATTTTTATGTGATATTAAAGCTATAGGCGGTTCAAATGTGAAAAAATAAATTTAGGTGTTAGATTTGTAAATATGTGAGAATTTACTGCTATGTATTTAAATACCCTAGCAAATGATCATCAGTAGATGAAGATCATGCTTAGTTATTAAGACAAAAATTACATCATTAATGCACTATTTTATATGCTTTAAATAAATCAAAAGGTGCTCATTGTAACTAAAAGACCTCTAGAAGGTCTGAGATGAAATTATTTTACTCTTTTTATGTGTAAAAATACAAATATTGTGTTTGAGAGATAGAGATAGAGAGAGATATATATAATTAAAATCACTTTCATGCACTATTTAATATAATTAAAATGTTTGTCAAGTAATGAAGAGCTTAAAATCACTTTCATGGAAATAATTAGGTACGGATAAAGAATGCATGTAGATTTCAGTACAATATGATTGCATTGGTTGTATTTTTGAAGAAAAAAAAAACTAAAAAATACAACTAATACAATCATAGTATGTTGAAATTTGCATGCATACGAATTCTGCACTTAATAATTTTTCCAATCTGATCAGGCAGCTCGAACACTATATTTGACGAACCAAGTTGGCTAATCTTCCATGGTATGAGAAATTACAAGAATATATACAAGATCACGAGAACCGCAGGATTTGGGATTTCGCTATCCCGAAAGAAATAGTTTTCACCTTTTTGTGGAATCAGACACTCTGTGATTGCGAATAGAGTAAACTGCAATCTTCTCTTCCTATCAGTAGTTTCATCAGGGATAGCTTCCCTTTTGCGTCTGCCAGAGGTCTTAGGGGGCCCTTAGTTCCTATTTCCTTGTTCTTATTTCCTTTTTTTTTTCCCCAAGTAGGTTTTTGGATGAAACTTTTATATATGTTTCTAGAGTTGTTTGAATATTTTAGATTGTGCACATTTCATGAGTTTGAAAGACTTTTGTTCGTCTTTTTTTCCCCCGAATCGTATCATCATCCTTTACAAGTAGTGTATATATATCTTGCTGAGTAACAGATAAATGGTGGAACCTCCTCACAACTCGTACCTCATTTTTTCACCTCTGGTTTATGTAAGACTTCTCTTATATCTCATGTCAAACTAAATAAGATTGCATCTTGCATAAAATCAACAAATCATATCTGCACTTTTCAAAAAAAAGAAAAAAAAAATTATGTGTCCTTCTATCAAAAGTTACCTTAAGAAAAAATTTGCCGTTTAAACTAATGATTTTCTCTCAAATATACCATAAAAATACCTAATTAAACGTCATTAATTATAAATTACCTTCCACAAATTACAATTCCAACGCCCGCTCTACTTAAAATATTCCCTTAAAGATGAACGTTTTATTCCCGCCACATACAAACTCTCTCTCTCTCTCTCTCTCTCTCTCTCTCTCTCTCTCTCTCTCTCTCTCTCTCTCTCTCTCTCTCTCTCTCTCTCTCTCTCTCTCTCTCTCTCTCTCTCTCTCTCTCTGCATCTACCACATCACCGGAACTCTGAAAACTCCACCAGCATCTTCCTCCTCCTCCTCCCTCCACCTCCTTCCTCAAATCCCAAAACCCTAACCCATCACTATAAAACCCATCTCATCTCTCCTCAACACCCAAAAAATTCCATTTTTTTCTTCATATCCTCCCCCACCACTCCAATGCCCCTCCATCCCCTCCTCCTCCTCCTCCTCCTCCTCTCCCCTTCCTCCCCCCATCCCTCCCTCTCACCCAACACCTCCCACCTCCTCTCCCAACCCATCTCCTCCCAATGCCTCACCGGCAACCCCATCGACGACTGCTGGCTCTGCTCCCCCTCCGGCTGGCAAACCAATCTCTTCCTCCTCTCCGATTGCTCCATCGGCTTGCGGCCCTCGGAGGAAAAAACGGCCACCTTTACACCGTCACCGATCCCTCTGACTCCACGCCTTCAAACCCCACTCCCGGCACTCTCCGCCACGCCGCCATCCAATCCTCACCCCTCTGGATCATCTTCTCCTCCGACATGACAATTCGCCTCAACGAACCACTCCTCATCAACAGCTACAAAACCATCGACGGCCGAGGAGCAACTGTCCACATCGCCGGCGGCCCCTGCATCATCATCAAAAATGTTTCCAATGTCATCATACATAACCTTCACATACACGACTGCATTCGCTCCGGCGACTCTGTTCTACATTCTTCGACAGCAGAAACAGAGCTTCACGGCCGCTCGGACGGCGATGGGATCACAATCCACGGCTCAAGGGATATATGGGTTGATCATTGCTCCCTCTCCAACTGCGCCGATGGGCTGATTGATGTTACAGAGGGATCTACTAGGGTTACTATTTCAAACAATTACTTCTCGCGGCATGATAAAGTGATGCTTCTCGGCCACAGCGACGATTATATGGGGGATTCAGAGATGCAGGTAGGAAAAAAAAATCAATTTTGTTTTGCTTGTTCGGATCGTTAGCTTCTCAAGATCATCTTTTTATAAAAAAAAATTAAGATAGTTGTTGGGTTGAAAATGATTTAGAAGAAAAAGGAGGGGTTTTGAGAGATTGTTGATGTAGGTGACGGTGGCGTTCAACAGATTTGGGGAGGAGCTGGTGCAGAGGATGCCGAGGTGCAGGCATGGCTTCTTCCATGTCGTTAATAATGATTATAGAGAGTGGGGGATGTATGCTGTCGGAGGGAGCGCTAATCCTACCATTAACAGCCAAGGGAATCGCTACGCAGCCCCCTCTGATCCAAATTTCAAGGAGGTAGGGTGGTAATGTTCAATTTTCTTGAATAATTTTCTCTTAAATTTTAGGTTTAGTGTGATTAATGATGCATTATATATACTAATCATGTATTAAAAATTTTGATTTTTTTTTAAATAGCTAATTATTAACTAATGATTATGATGGAATTTTAGTTAAAATGAAAACATTAAATGATATTAAACCGGAAATACTCATCATCAACATACTACATTATGAGATATATATTTCCTTTTAAGGTTCGCATAGCATACATTTATTATGTTTCTAGAAATAAAAAATATATCCAATTTGCGTATTTTTTTTATTAATGATTTAAAAAAATTAAAAAAAAAGGAACAAAAATGGTGCAAAATGGCTAAAAGGCAAAATTGTATATTTCTGAAGGTGACGAAGAGGATGGACACAGCAGAGCAGGAGTGGAGCAGCTGGAACTGGAGATCAGAAGGGGATATAATGCTCAACGGGGCTTTCTTTGTTCAGTCCGGTCAGGGATCGCCGGCTAACTACGAGAAGGCGTCGAGCTTCGAGCCGCTCTCCGCCGAGCTCATCGACGAGTTCACTCGTAATGCCGGCGTGATGCAACTAACCAGGTAGCCTCCCCATTATTAAAACTCAACTTTAAATTAATATTATTTTCTCTCTTCTATAATAAAATAGTAGGCTCGTGAGCGAGCTGAAACTAGCAAACTTGAGCTCAAGCTCGATTTTGAATTTGATAAAATTAATCAACATAAGCTCGTGCTAAGAGTGGCTCGAGCAAGACTCGACCAACTCATTTGCACCCCGATACACGATCAATGGGAGATATGTTCATGTCATATTATTATTTTTCCATATTATCATTTGCACACTGTATTTTTTTCATATTTTTCCACGTCTATCACACCAAATATACGGTAAATTTGTTCATGTATAGCTCATTAAATGAAAGATGTTTTAGAGGTAACACTATGATGTAATTATCATGCAAAGACGTTTGATCATGAATAACAAGTTTTTCTTATAAGTCTGATCATTTGATTGCAGCGGTGACGGCAATCACAGAAGTGATGGTGGTGGACCTGGTGGTGCTGGTGGTGGTGGACCTGGTGGTGGTGGTAGTGG